CAAAGAATTTTAAAAGGGGGGAGGGTTGGGTTAGCTAATGGGAGGTGGGCACAGGATGCCTTGATATCAGAGATGTTTTAAAGTGTTTAGTCTTACAACGCATTTAAACTGGAGCAGAGCATTATGATACACAACTGTATCATCTTGGGAGGCTAAGACAGGAAGAAGGGTGGTGAGTTAGAAGCCAAACTGGCCAAGTATCAAGACGATGTGCCCAGTCCCCCTCTGGGGAAAAGAAGGTGAAATACTTAATAATATGAATACAGTGATTATAAAAGAACAGAGTACCTCACGAAGCAGCACTATTCTACTCCTATACATGAAACCAACCTATATCAACAAAAATAGGAGGAGCTGGCTAAAAGAGGAAATAAACAAGGCAAGCCTCTTCCCTTTGAACAACAACAACAACAAAAACCCCACTATAAACAGCACCTGACAATTCAATCATTTACCAGTCATTCATCCAAAGCAGCAAATCTCCACATAGAAAGAGGGAAGGAGTAGACAGCTTCAAATTAAACATGCCTCCTCTCAAGTCTTCTCCCAAATACCTCAACATTAACTCAGAGCCCTGCTACCAAGAGCCTCTGTTAGGATGGAAATGTGCCAGACTCCTTTAAAGAGGCAAGTCCTCACACAGAATAGACATCACAAATCCCATTTAGCCCTATAAAACTGGATTTTTCTTTTCATAAATAATTGAGAGTTCCAGCCACTCTACTTCAATACAGTATAATAGCCCTCCTCCTTGCAAGTAAGTGAAGCAATAGTTATCGCCAGTCTTAGAACAGCAGCAAAGAAGCCTGCAACTTAATTAGATGAGTCAGTCCTATTACTCTAGCAAAATTGAATCCATCATAACCCTCTGAGACCTGGGTGTTACCCTGGATAATTAAGATGTACTAGGTTGTCTAAGTTTTATCTTATAAATTATCAATTTTTTGTTTTGCAATTTGTAATAGCACTTTTTCCAAGTATACAACCACTTTGCTTAGTTTTAAATTACCAAAAGTTGTACAGAGTCACTGAAAATTATACCACAAAAAATGCCTAAAGTAAAAAAGTCTCCTTCCCTTACCACCTACCTGCTCCCAGTCCACAAGAGCAACAAGTGAAAACACTTGGAATCATACAGCTCTTCAGAATACATACAAATTTCACAAATTTTTACCTAACTTACATACAAATTCAAGCAAACAGTAATATCTACATTCTGCAACATAATTGACTTATCACTATTTCCTCTTCTTTCTGAGTCTACTGCCGTTGGCCATCTTCTAGCATTACCTAGAAGTCAATCTGCATAGGGGTTGATGTCAAAAGTATCCCCTCTCCAGGAAAAAGACATCAGGATGGGTATGGCCCTCATGCCTCACTGGACAACGACAGGGGGACCGGAGCCATTACAAGGTCCCCTTCAATTACTGGAGGTCAGGCCTCTATCCCCGCCTTAGCAAGATTAGAACTGCCACAGCCCTTCTATACTTAGAGAAGGGAGGAGATGTCAGGGGCAGCCCTGCTTACCCGCTGAAGGCCTAAAATCAACCATAGGCCTAAAATCAGCAATAGGCCTGTCATATATGTATACTAACATCAAGTCTTGGGTCTCAGTGGAAAAACATTGAAACAGATGGCTATAAGCTAATGTAAACAGTCAGCTTTTGTGGAAATCTACAAGCCTGAGTAGTCATAGACCTTGTAAATAGGTAGCCTTGGCAGACAATACCAACTTAGATAAGGACAAGCGAGTCATAGGCAGAGTCATAGTGACTTGTCCCCTGAACCTTCACCCAGCCGATACCCAGTTCTGAAGATACCTGTATTCCCCCTGAACACCCACACTTCAGTGTCATTCCATTCCCCACATCCTGCCTTTTCGTATGTATAACCCCTGTGTGAATGAATTACGATTTGAGAAAAAATAAATTATAAAAAAAAAAAAAAAATGAAGGAAGAGAAAAGGATGTGGAGAAACCACGTGGATGGACCAGGAGGATTCTCCATGTGACCGAAATGAGAGAGTAGCCATGAAGACACACATGGACCAGTGCAAGCCAGGGCAAGATCAAATGTAGGTAAAGGTATAGTAGCAGCTTAGTTGGGTTAGAGTGGATTAGAATCGGCTCAGCTATTTGTGCTTGCAGCTTGTTAATAAAAACACCACATCTCAGAGGGGAAAAAAAAAAGAAGTCATTTCAATAAATTACACGAAATAAGCATACAACCTAACCCGAGTCAAAATCACAAAAGGAAATCTTATTAGAATATCTACAAAAAAAGTGGAAGTGTAGTGGCAAAAGCCTTTAATCTCAGCACCTGTGAGGCGGAGGCAGGCAGATGTCTGTGAGTTCGAGGGCATGCAGAGCTACAAAGTGAGATTCTGTCTTGAAAAAACTAAAACAACTAGAGGTGGTGGCGAGACAGCTCCCTTCCTTCTCCTTCCTCCGTTCTCCCACTCCCTCTCTCCCTTCTCTCCTCTCTCAAAGGTACACCAGAGAAGAGTAGCAGTCTAGGATCCAGAATGGGAAGACGAAAAACCTAGAGGTGATGGAGTAGAAAGGGGGTGCTGAAAGAATTCACACACAAACAAGGAGCAGGTCATCCTGAACGAAAATGTGCCCAGACTTTTCAATCAGGCATGCCTAATTCATGTTTGTCCTCTGCTACCTAAGCACCCAACTCCTAGCTAAAACTTCACAGGCTGCTCTTCAAACTTCAAGCATGATTTTTATCAAGTTACTTAATAAACTGTCATTAATTTTAATGATATTTTTTCTTTTTCAACAAAAGTTTAAGATTAATTTCATCGAACTTAAGATTTAAAAAATCCCTTCAAATTTTTTGATAATAAATATTTTAACGTATATAGAAAGAAGCTCAACTCAGCACAAACTCTGTTTTGAAGACTTGGAAATTCTCAAATTCAGTACACTAGGAAGAATTCTAAAACAAATACCAGCAAATAGTAAATGAATAAAATACTGAATTATACCCCAGGTCTTGTTTGTTTAGTCATCAAACCACTTTACTTAAAGGCCTGCAGGTAGAAGATGGAAAGGGGCTAAAGTCAGCAGGCTCTGGCTGCTTAGGCAGGCCACCCTTTGCTCTGAGATTTAAGGATTTTAATGTCTTCCTACAATCAAAGTGACTTACGATCTAGCTAGTCAATAGTCCCCACAGTACGAGGCAATGGTTCAGTCCTCTAGCTCAACCACTGTGGATAAAGAGCACAAGGCTTACCTGTACAATACCATTTGTTTTCAATATTGAGCTGTTTAAATGTGTAACTTCATTTCTAAGAAGTGAGAAGTAAATCAACTTACCTCAATTGTTTTGCATAGTTCTGTTCAATTTCGATTCTCTCTTTAACAAACTTGGCATATCTTTCCAAGAAGTCGATTCCCCATTGGGTATGCTTATCTAAGCTATCGAACTGATCCTAGAAAAGGAAAGCAAGAACAGGTTAAACAGGTTTGAAATTGTTGCCACAAATATTTTGAGCAGTTTCTGATATTTGTACAGAAGTAATTAAGTATAAAGGATAAAGGGAAACCCTGGTCCTTCCCACCTTTTCCTAAACCAGGACAAATGAGGAAGACCACCACTGGTGTGCAACTGTAGCTCTTCCTTGGGTGATCCTGTCCAGACTTCGTTCTTGCCAGTCTCTACAACCACGTAAGACAATTACTTGTAAGAAATCTCTCTAGAGTGGCTATCACTCCCTACAACCGTGTGCACAGAGGGCTAGCACCAGACTCAAACAGAGAAGCAGCAGATCTCCAAGACTGTAGAATGGCCCACACACCCTGCATCAAGAACTGGAAGGAGGAAGCAGAGGAAACAACTGTAAAGACAGACTCAGGAAACCAAAGAAACGGAGCAGCCCAAGAAAGGAAAGGGAAGCTGTCCTTTGGGAGGAGAAAGCCATCAGGCTCCAGCAAACAACAAGCAAGCTCATCATTTGCTCCTAACTTCTGTGGGCCACACATAATAAGCAGAGGATGATCCACAGAATGTATTCATGGAGGTGTGCTGAGGAACTTGCCTGACATTCTTACAAGGGAGCTCCCTAAACACAAGAACATCAGTTCATGCCTTGGCTTCTCCCACTTTCTATGAGCCCAGGAAAGGTAGTTTCTACTCTTTTCCTTTTCTCTGGACTCACCTGATCCACGTACTATGGAACTATCTTACTGTCACTGTCAAGTGAGTCTTCTGTTCCCAGTTCCTAGCTGCCCCATGACCTTTTCTCACAGTCCAAGTTCTGTCAATAGAAAAATTTTACCCATCATCATAGGAAAAGGTAAGTTAATTAAGCAAATAAAAAGCAAAAATCTAAAACAAAAATCTCTTCCTTTGTATACATGTATGTATGTATGTATCCTGATGGTTCTGTTTCTCTGGAGAACACTGAGAAAAAAAACTACTCATTTTAAAACAAACAGAACTTGGGCTCAGTGGTAAAAGCACTGGCTGCTCTTCCAGAGGACCCAGGCTCAATTTCCAGCATCCACATGGCAGCTCACAACTGTCTGTAACTCCTGTTCTAGAGGATCTTACACCTTCACACAGACATACATGCAGTCAAATCACCTATATACATAAAATTTAGAAAATTCAAAAACAAAACTTAGCACTCATTGTTCTGGCTTAAGCTCCCTCTACTAGGTCTCAGCAGACTGAACTAAAGTGGATTTGCTCATGCTGAAGTTCCCTGCCTACCATGCCCACACCAAGCTGCAGGAGAAGAGGGAGAAACAGGCAGATAGTAATAACCAAGTCCCTAAGCAGGCCAGGTCTAAGTTGTACAAGTAGTGCTTTAGCAATTTCCATAAGGAAATTAGCATTTAAACACTCAAACTGCCTTTGCTCTCCTCTGCCGTCTCAGCCCTTCTCTGTAAGACCAGCACACTCCTTGTATTTTATGCAATGAAGTGTTGCCCAAACACAGACCTGTAAATCAGGTCAATTATAATCTTTAACTCCTTAGTTTTTTGACATATTTGCTTGCAATAATTAGATACTAGTATTTGTAGGTGACATAGGTAAGTGATAGATATATTTCCAAACATTCATTATCAAAATGTTTTCTCCATAATTCTCATTTCTTTAAAAAGGCAACTAATCACTAACCATTAAAACTTCTCTTTATCTTTTGAAGATACACTTCTCAAAATTACATATTATGAGCATATAACTGACAACCACTTATTTTAAAAGGGTAACAACTTTAAACATCCAAGAGATAAACTGATTTTATGAGAAACAGATTTTCAAGGGTCCCTCCCAATTCCTACTAGAAGCACTGAAAGTAGTTTGTCTTCCATATTCTATAAAAATATTATTTTTGTGAGGTTAACTATAACAATTTACCTAAATGTTCTATGGACTTCTCTCATTCATTTTCTTCTTACCTATAAATAACAAAGTGAATAAATTTCAACTTTATTTCAACTTCCTTTTTAAACTTCCAGTTAAAAGCACAGGGCTAGCAGCAGAATGAAAAAATTCCAGTCAAAACACTGCTTTACTGGTAGCTAACACAGTTTTTTCATAGAATATTGTTTTTGTTGAAGTCCTTTATTATTAAGAATAAATGTTCAACACATCTTTTCTTTAATGGCTCATACACAAAAAAGGTGATTCTAAATATACCTGCATATTGAAACAGAACCTATCAGAGATTATAATCTGAGGAATACTAGAAATATCTGTACTTTAATCAAACTACTATATGACAAAACTGTTGTACATTTTGTTATTGTTATTGAAAATAAAAAATAAAACTGAAACAGTCCTCTCAGAGCAGCTACTTTGGAGGCAGAGGCAGAAGAATCACTTGGGCCCAGAAATTCTTTAGTGGTGTTTTCTAAGCAGGTTCTACAGTATTTAGCTTCTCACCACATTGCTGATATGTTATAGATATCTGTATCTGTAATACAAGAGCAAGCAAGAAATGCTTATTGGGTCTCTGCCCTCAGTTCTTAGCACAACTTCTAAAACCTTTAGAACTCCTGAGTAAGGAGAGACATGCTTCCTGATCTTTAAACTCCTAGTTCCTCTAGAACCATACTTGGTTTTATGCTAATGAGGTAACCTGGATTGGAGGTCATTTATCAAAGGAACCTGTTAGTACAGGATTGAAACTTTCAGCCTCCTTATAAGAGGGGTTAGGGATTGATTATAATAACAATAACCAAGGATTTAATCAACGTTGCCTATGTCATGGAATTTCCATAAAAAAAAAAAAAAAACTAAACAATGTGTTTAGAGAGCTTCTTGGTTGGTGAACATAGCCATGTGCCACAGGGACCAAAGGTCTCACCTGTACCCTGAGCCTTTCTGGACCTTATCTTATGTACTTCTTCATATGGTATTTATCTGCATGTATCACTAAGCAATAGTAAAATGTTCTGAGTTCTGTGAGACATCAGAAGGAATTACGAAACCTGAGGAGTTGTAGGAGCACATGGTTTCATCAAGCCTTCTGAAGTACTAGAGGCCCAGGACAGCATCTAAAGTGGAGTCAGTCCTATAGTGTAAGTCCTTAAACTTATGAGGTCTTTTCTTTATTAAAAACAAAAACTTTTTTTCTTCAAATATAGTAAGATGACAAGCATGATGTTGACCATTTCTTATTGTCTGCCTGCCTATGCTCTATGTATTAAATACAACCCAATATCACTTTTTTTTTTTTTTTTTTTTTTGGTTTTTCGAGACAGGGTTTCTCTGTGTAGCCCTGGCTGTCCTGGAACTCACTCTGTAGACCAGCCTGGCCTAGAAATCAGAAATCCGCCTGCCTCTGCCTCCCAAGTGCTGGGATTAAAGGCATGCACCACCACTGCCTGGCCCCACTATTACTTTAAATCTAAGACATTGGTGTCACTTCATGCTTTACATACTAGTAGAGTTTTAGACAATATGAAGAATTCTAGTAGATCATTTTATATGCTCTTTTCTTAAGATTCCTGCTTTAAATAATATGCTATGCTTGTTTGCTCTGTGGTTAGTCATTATTCTCCTACTGAAATATTACTGGGTTTTTCCAGCATTCAGGAGACTGACACAGTAGAATCAACCAAGACTGAAGCCAGTCTAGGCCAACAATGTGAATTCAAATCTAATCTGGGTACATATAGGGAGACCATGTCTTAACAAACAAACAAAACTGTTTTAAAAGTATATGTCATTCTTAAGTACTTGAATAGTCAAATACACTCATACTATAGTTTCACTAGCTGGAGGTGTAGGCTTTCTCTGTAGCATCAGCTTTCCCTTCGGCACTGCTAACCCAGAACCTGCCTGACCCACACCAAATCTTAGAAGCATCAGGTTTCTCAAAGGTATTGTGAGTTGTTTATCATTTAAAAATAGTTAAAAAAATAAGTTTTAAAATTAAGCTAATCAGACTATTGCGAAAACATGGTCAAATTTCACTATTAACAGTTAAATTTATAAGCTATAAAATCTAAAATATAATTTTCTTTTATAAGGTTTTTCCAGTTTGTAAGACTTATTATTTTTAATTAGGAGTGTAATGTGCATGTGAGTACAGGTGCCCTGAGAGGCCAAAAACATGGAATCCCCCTAGAACTGGAGTTACAGACAGTTGTAAGACTCCACACATGTGCTAAGAACAGAACAGACTTTTAACCATTAAGACATCTCTCTAGCCCACATTTATTAAGTTTTACAAAAATTTTATATGTATACAATTTTAATTAGTTGGTATTTTAGAAAAAGTTACATATAGCTCAAGTAAGACTCAAACACACTGTGCAGTTAAGGATGATTTTGAATTTCTAATCCTCCTATTCCAACCTCCAGAGTGCTGAGATTACAGGTGATGTCACCATGCCCATGTGGATTGCATCCAAGGCTTCATACATACTAAATAAGCACCTACCAACTGAGCTAGATTCCTAACCATATAACTTTCAATTATTAATGTAAATACTTAGTACTGTAGAGGTGGACCTGAAGACTAAAGAAAGATCAAGAGTTCAAGACCAGCTAGAGAGTGAGTTCAAGATCAGCTGTAAAGGTAAAGGCGCTTGACAGCAAACCTGACAACCTGAGTTTGATCCCCAGAACCTAAGTGATGGAAGTAAAGAACTGACTTCTGAAAGTTGTTCTGACTTCCACAGGAAAACTGTGGCACTTTATGTCCACTCATAGACATACATACACCTGTAAATAATTTTTTTAAAAATCAAGACTTGATCACCACTCCCCTACTCTTGCTGTCTCTAACACATCTCTCAGTCCACATTACTAACTGCCTCTAACTTCTCCGCTCCCTGCTTCAGTCATTCTCTCTTCCTTTCAAACAGGTATGTCCATACCACAGTGTCTGTGAAAGGAATCCCATTAGTGCAGCCCTAGGTTCATCTCATCTCACATTAAATGCAAGAAAGCTCTTCTACTTCTCTTTAATTTTCTAAAATATCTCAAGTGAATTTACATCAGAATAAGAGGAAAATATTCTAAATGCTAGAATCAGCATCGACTTAAATGTTCCACACTATGTATGCAGTGTAACTCCAATAATGTTTATTACTCCGATAATCTACTTTAACATGTGCTAGCTCATAAATATATCTATTTAATCTACATTTATTTAGATACCTTAAATACAATTCGGTATAAAATACCTATTACAAAATGTTATAATTTTTTTTCAGAAGTCACTTTTAAATATGCAATTCTTGTTTTTATAATTACTTTGATACAGCCTTGCATTCAAATGCAGTCCTAATAAAGTACTCTGGTAAAGTACCAAGGGACATCACTATTTAAAGAAGACTTTTTTAACTGAAAGCTGAATAATCACTCTGCTGTCCTAGTTTAGATGTACTTTATGGCTCTATTTGCCTGCCAGAGTTTCTCCAGCACTTCTGAATACCAAACTACTACTAAAGACATTTTAAAAGACCTAACACAACTGACTTTTCTCCTCTTTAACTCCTATGGACTACAGAAAGATTTTCTTTTTTGCTTATGTCTCATGGAACTAAGAAAGCGATTATGATTCAGGTTCAGTCAATAACATCCAACCACAAAAACAAAAAACAAAAATAAAGCAAACAAAAACCCCAAACAATAATGTACTTTTGTATAATAACTTAATTTTTTCATGCTTAAGGTAGAATTAAAAGTTGTATATTGGGGAAAATGGCGGCTTCGGGAGAGAGTGGTGCTTCGGGCGGCGGAGGCAGCACAGAGGAGGCATTTATGACCTTCTACAGTGAGGTGAAACAAATAGAGAAGAGAGATTCAGTTCTAACGTCCAAAAATCAAATTGAAAGATTGACTCGTCCTGGTTCCTCTTACTTTAATCTGAACCCATTTGAGGTTCTTCAGATAGATCCTGAAGTGACAGATGAAGAAATAAAAAAGAGGTTTCGTCAGTTGTCCATCTTGGTACATCCTGACAAAAACCAGGACGATGCTGACAGAGCGCAGAAGGCTTTTGAAGCTGTGGACAAAGCTTACAAGTTGCTACTGGATCAGGAACAAAAGAAGAGGGCCCTGGATGTAATTCAGGCAGGAAAAGAATACGTGGAACACACTGTTAAAGAGCGAAAGAAACAACTAAAGAAGGAAGGAAAGCCTACAAATGTAGAGGAAGATGATCCCGAACTGTTCAAACAGGCTGTCTACAAACAGACCATGAAGCTGTTTGCTGAGCTGGAGATTAAAAGGAAAGAGAGAGAAGCCAAAGAAATGCATGAGAGGAAGCGACAGAGAGAAGAGGAGATTGAAGCCCAGGAAAAAGCCAAGCGAGAGAGAGAATGGCAGAAAAACTTTGAGGAAAGTCGGGATGGTCGAGTGGACAGTTGGCGAAATTTCCAGGCAAATACAAAGGGGAAGAAGGAGAAGAAGAATCGGACCTTCCTGCGGCCGCCGAAAGTCAAGATGGAGCAGCGGGAGTGAGCAGCAGGACCACGGCCGGGCCTCCCTGGCCAGAGCCTCCCCACTGCCTCCTCCTGCTTTAAGGACTCATTCTTTCTCCACCCCAACATAGAGTAGCAATTGCTTTTTAGTCTATTTTGTTTTCGATACAATTTAATATCAATGAGAGTAATTCTTTGTACATTGAGAGGAGGGGCTTGGTCTAACCTTCCCCCATCCTTACCCACAGAACCACCAGGATTGGAAGAAGCTACTGACTCGTGCCGCCTTCTTTTCCCACAGCCTGTAACTTAATGTTTTATATTTGAATTGTGGTGGCTCAAGGGTCATGTATAGTTTGTGGAAATCTTCCAATTAACTGTCTTGCTTACAGTGGTGTTGCCCTGACTCCAGATCAGCCCAGGCCACCTTGGGAAGCCATCCTTGAGGCCCTTGCTCCAATAGGAGAGGCACTGTGGACTCACATGGTAGTCACTTGTTGCCCTAACGCCCTGTGGTGTTTGGCACAAGGCTCCCAGCCACTTAAACCTGTTCACTTTCCAAAGAGTTCGCCATCTTCCAGCCAGTCCCATTGTGTCCTCGCTTGTCTGCATTCATTAGTGGTAATATTCTTTTACGTATAATAAATTTTTATACCCAAAAAAAAAAAAAAAAAGTTGTATATTTGGACAACTCAGGCATTTTTAACTTAAAATTTTCAACTCAATTTTATATTAAGCACACAGTGACTTCAATATCAATACAAACTATCTGTACCACAATTCCTTTGTCGTTTCTCTTCCTCGCACTTACAATACCTTTTACAGTCTTGGCTACTTATTCTCATGGTGATCTCCACTGTCATTAACATTACTACAGCAGGACCCTCCTTCTCCACACCTACAAGGGAATTTAAGAACCTATTTTAGATGGCTTGTCTTTTCTGTTGCCCCTCACAACTTTAGTCCAGTAATTGTTTGGCCCATAGACCCTAGTACTAACATACTATTACTATCCTGTCTTCATTTCCATCTTTACACATGTTAGATTCCATTGCAAATACCGTTCATTGTCCTTGCCACTGTCAAATCTTAACAATGCTCTTTAGTCAGTTGAGGTGTTTGTTTCTTTGTTCATTTGTTTAAAATTAACCCTTCCTCATGCTACTGTAGAAAGGTAAAGACCATGAATCACATTGACTGGTCAAACCCTGAAATTTCTGTCTGCTAAACTAAGGGCTCCTTAATGCTACTTAGCTTGAGCTCATTCATTCACTTTTGCTTTACCCTAGCCAATTATCTCATAGCCTTAGTCTCTATGTTAAATTTAAAGCACCTCCTACCCATTCTGCTCACAGCCAACAACTTTACTTCCTACTTCACAAAAAAGTGAACAATTGAAGATTTCTACTCTGAAGTAGGATAGAAAGATAGGAAGTTAGCAAAATTAACATGCGCTTTGAAGACTACCAACATGGAGATGCAGTATTCCTTTTATATGCAGATGTTTAGCAATGAATCATGCTGAAGGGCTAAGTACACACACACACATACACACACATGCACATTTACACATAT